CCCCTAGCTACTCACTGATGAAACTCATATGAAAAAAAGTTTTTAATAAATCTTTAAATTTCAAAATAATGGAAGTAAGAGATTAGACATCATGAATGTGGTTTGGTATTCATCATCATTAATGATGATTAATTCATTTGCTCTTTTGTGGATTTTACAATAACTCCACAGATATTCTACTATAATTTAGTCATTAATGTGTGTCCCATTATTTTAAAGCATTAAGACAATTTCAATAAGAAAACTCTTTGAATAAGGCTGTAATCTCTGTCCTTTTCTCTAGTCTGTGACTTGCTGCCTTATTAGTAACTCTTACGTATGTCTTCCCTCCTCAGTAGGACATCCCAGAACTATAGTCTTGCTCTGTTCCTGCACCTTAACTCAAGAATTACAGTAGTAAAGGGTAATGCATTCTGCCTGATAGGGTTCCATGTTTTATTGTGTTTCTCAGAGAGTATGTTTATATATAGAATTCTTCACATGGTTTAGCTCACTATTTCCTTTATAACACAGAAAAACTGTTATTGTAACGGCAAAGACAGGCCACCTTTCTACACCCTAACAAATTCTATTGTTTATCATATGAATGACAGGCATAGAGGATCAACTCTGAGGATCAAAGGTAAGGTTGTATCATCAAATGTGGCACACAGACACGGAGAAAGGGAAGGGGAGGAGGACCCAATCAACTGTGAACATTTAATCTATTCCATGTTTGAATACGGCATGCTATATAATAAGAAGGAGATTTAACAGAGGGCCATTTTTAAAACTCTCTTTTGGTGCTTAGTATTATAGTCCTTTAAAGTCCTGAAAAACTGTTCTGTGAGCACTTGGTCTAAATGTATGTCCACATTTAATAACCCCAAATGCGCCTTCAGTGCATACCAGATGTGTCATTAACTATTTCTGAAAAAAAGTGAAATAAAATCACTCAGCATGAGAATACTGTGGAATAAGTCAACACTAACAGATGGTGTTTATTTTGTCACTGCTTGTGTTAAAAATTACCACCTATTCCATCAAATCAGTTTCTTTAAGGTGGAAGCTTTATGTAAAAAGTGCCACAGAAAATACTTTTTTTTAATCAGCTGTCACTGAGTTCCTTAAAATATGAGCACTTCTTTTCATGCTTTCCAGTTTTCTAGGACATGGTGCAATACACAGGAGATAGGTTTGTATAAATCTGACACGATACAGTATTTTGCCAGCAATTCTGTCTTGCAACGTGCAATCTGTTTTATTTCTCAAACAAAGTTTGCAAATTTGTTAGCTTGAATATGGTGTTTTCAAGATACAAATTCCATAACAAAGATTAGGTCTTCCCTTGAGATTTACACCACCTGATACTGCCATCAATTTGTTTGTTTCTAGAACCCAATCTGTAAGGACCTTTTTTCCCCCCGAATTTCCTTCATTCTTACAATTATTTTTTGTAAGCATATAGATTTTGCTGTGCAGTTTACATGCTCTAGTGGGTGATTTCTGGGCAAAACAGCATGTTGTGAGAAAAGTAATTGTTAAATCTGAAGCTGGCTACTATAGAAATCAATGCTAAATCCCCAGGACATAAATACATTTTGGCTTATCTACTTTATAAAAGTTTCCATTTTTTAAAAACCTGTGTGAGGTCAATGCAAGTGAAATATTTCAAATACATAGTAAATAGAGTAGATCATATTCATCCATAGCGTAATTCCTTTGGTTCAAAAGAAGAGAAACTTCAACAGAATCACAACAGGGGCACATTGTGTCTACTGTATGTAAATATAATTTCAAGCAATAACAATGGAACATATTTGTATCTGCAGGTTACTGGCAATGAGTTTCTAATTCTAAATTTCATGCTACAGAAATTAAAGACCAGTAGCAACTGCCCAGATCTCAAAATATAGTACTCCCATTCTGTAATTTACAACCTTCTCTAAACTAATAAACAAACAAATAAATACTAAACAACAACAACATACAAAATCCAACCTTTTATTTGTGCCCCCTCACAAAAGTATAATCTGTGACCTATTTATTAACCATTTTTAAAAGTTATGGGAGAATAAAATCTATTATGCTAGTTGCATAACCCTGCAAACATATCATACTTGCGTATCTCTTTGACATTTTAAGACAATAACAATTTAATAAACAAACAAACAATAATAATGTTCATGGTGCTTAGTACCAATACATAACTAAAATATAACAACATGCAAAATAAAACAACACAATTAGAATATATTAAAAACAAAAGGACTAAAATGCGAAAGCAACATAGCATCATTAGAAAGAACAGCCCTACTGAGGGAGTGGACAACCCTTCTAAAGAAAAAAGAAAATAAAAGAAGTGTCTTCATTAGATTCTTTAAAAATGGGAGGGAATGAAACAGATCATCTGCAGGCGGCAAGTGCCACACACTGGAGGCCAGGCACGTGGAGTCAGAACGTGCATACAGTCACCAGCACGATCCTCAAGAAGGAAGCCTCGGTGATCTAGTTTTAAAGCAACAGTCATCTGCTGTCTGAAAGGCAGACAGTGTGAAAGACTCAGGATGATCTTCATGGGCTCAGTTCATTCAGATTCTGAGCATGGACGTCGAGCACACTGACAACTTAGGGTGTTCAGAATCTTTTTAAATAAAGAGCAGTATGAACCTGGCTGTATAGTCCAGTGAGCAAACATGCTACTGCACTCCCATCTGCCAGGTAGAGACCTGAATGGTATCTTGCTATCTACATTTCCAAAGTGTACATCGCTACAGTAGGTAGGCTCAGCATTTAACTGCCCATTTTCTGACTAATCCTTGCTGACTGTTTTGGTGAGCAGTGATGACATCTTGCTCCTTGGCACCTACAGATTGTATCAGAGTAGCTCACATTCAGTCAGTATACTGCAAGCAATTCACAGCCTTGGCAAACACAGGTATGAACTGGTCACTCCTCAAACAAAAACCTGAAGTCTCTATTCACACAAATAGGGTCAGTGTGAGGCATATGCAGTCGCCCCAGGCTTTATTATTGGCCCGGCTTCAGGCTCTATGCTCATGTAGTGGAGATTTAGACAACTTATATTAAAACAATAATGATGAAAAGTTCAAATTATATTAAAAATACCTATCTACACACATTTGTTTTGTAGAAGTAAAATGTTCCGTATAACATATACAAATAAGGTTGAAATATGCATGTCCATTTTAAAGCAAGCGCCATAAAAAAGTCTGTAATGTGCACAAATTTTACTGCAATGTAAAATAAAGATATGCTCATGTGTCATGCATTGTAGGCTAACGGCTGTTTTGAGAATTCTGAGTATTAATGACATTTTACCATTTTTTTTTAAGAACTGCATTTTTTTGCACCACCCGAGGTGTGTGTGTGTTTATTTATAGGCCCCATTTCTGCTCCATATATTTGAACGAGGTCTCGCAAATAATCACAGCAAACCTGCATACAAATCAAGGCTCCTATACCTCTAACACAACATGTGCACTGAGAAGATTATAGCACTATTTCGATGTATCCTTGGATGAAAACTTTAAACCAAGGATATTGCCATCTGTCTGTTTTTGGTAGTATCAGATGAATGTTGAAGACCCCATGGCATTTAAAAAAAAAAGACTAGAGAAATCTGAAGCTTGATCCTAATTCTTTCTCTGAATTATAAGCCTTATAGAGTAAGCTAGCACTGTAACCAATTACACCTCTAAGCAGGCAAAACAAAATAGTACCCTAACTTGGAGTTCTTGTTCAGACTATTATTATTTCTAGATCTGCCTGCATAGCACAACCTAATTATATATAAGGTTGTTTGTAAGACTCCATGGGTAATCAAATGAATGTTAAAGAAGAGATTACATCAGGAAAATAAGAAAAACACTTGGGAACATGCTTAAATTCTTTGCCGAATAAGGACCGAACTGTACACGTGTCACAAAGATGATGATGGCTATAAGACAAGGAAAGCAGAGAAGTGTAATAGGAAGCATCTTTCATCTGAACAGCCAGTCAAACATAAAACAGAAATTGCAGCCTTGAGGACATAAGGCTTTATCAGAAATGGCTCCTGGGAAATTAGTAAGGGCACAATGGAACATATTGACTAAGATCTAAGGTTAATGCAACTGGACATACCCAATGAATGAAAACAATGCTTAGCATTTAAGAGATATCAGGGGGAAGAGGCTTATTGAATCTTTATTTAGATAGAAAAACCACACCAAGAAGCACTTGGATCTAAAATCGTCATATGTTTAAACAACTATTAGAATTGTATGTTAATAAAAGAAGAATGCCACACTATTTTTCCACATGCTTCCCTTTTCCAAGTGGTTTTATCTTGCTCCAGGGATGGGAAGGAATATACAGTAATACTTTAACCACACTCTTCTGTCACTGAGGTAATTCTTTACAAAAATTCTGATTGTGTTATATGGGATAGCTAAGATAAAAAGCTTAGTGTTGAACTAAGAGCACTGTCTGGATTTGGTTTAGATCAAAATATTCAATCAAGGCAGAAAATGAACAGCGGTATCACAAAATCTCTCATTAAAAAGGAAGACTAAAAATCTCTGAAGCAGTATCTACTACATGCAAACATTCACTAATGAGCAAAAATATTTGCAGACGCCTTTATAACTAAACTACTGGTATAGATATTTTGGTGCTTTTACTTAGATCTGTATGTAATCCTTGTGCCCATGGCTGGCCTATGCCAGCTCTCTGGTAGCTCAGGAGAACTGTAGTTCTTTCATCACCCACTCCTCTCTTAGCAGTCAAATAACAAATACCCCCATAAAAAAGTCAGTTAAAACCCCAGCACAAAAAACTGTAGTTAGCTAAATAAAAGCCAGGTTTATTTACTACACAATAGAAAACACAGAAAAATCTCACAAATAATATATTTCATAAGCACAGTATAAACACACCCAGGCTAATTGCTGCAGAAATCAAACTTACTAGACTCTATATTTACAAGGAATATGGGTTAAGCAAGACAAAAACCTTACGTATTAGAGAGTTCTTTGTCTCAGCCAGCAGATGCCAGCCTGTCTGTCTCTCTTTCAATGTCTCAGAAAGGTGTGTATGAAAATCTAAATAAAATAAAATAAATAAAATTTAGAGACAACTCTTTGTTCTCCCTAATATTCCCCCATACACTCTTGATGTAATACACCCAGGCAAGATCACAGAATGACTTGCTTCTCAGACTATCAGCAAATATTAACTTTTATAGAATGCTATTATTAAGAAATTACAGGAGGGTTCCGAAATTTTATACTATGTGATCAACAACATGTAAGTAGACTTAGATAAGCATATCACTTATAACCTCTGATAAGAACCCATTTTTGCAAATGCCAAATACTCTCCACTTCCACTGTTATCAGTGGGCATAGGAGAGGTTAGCATCTCTCTAAACGAGGCCCTAAATGCTATTGAGACTTAAGAGAATACACATTAGAGCAAAGTCTTCCTCTGGTTACATGCATTCCATTTCCCTCAAAAGTCAGTGAGATTCATATATATAATAAGCATTTAATATCCTGAGGAAAATCTAGTAACATAATGTAATTTGCATATTATAGCTATTTAAAACACAATTTCAGTTTTTTACTCATGGTCCTTTTTCTAATGCATCTCCAGAGATACTCTTTCACTGTTTAGATATGATTTTTTTAACATGTTCACTGGAGATGCACAAATAGATTTAAATTCGGAATCAACATAATTGGGCTCATTCTGCTGAATATGAAGAGACACAGTCCAGTGTATCAGAATAAAACATCTGACATGGTTCAAATATCACAGTTTATCAATTTCTAGTAAAATATTTTTGCTGAATTGTCTGAGAAATTTCTAAAGTGTCTCAAAAAGTTTCCATGCTAAAATAATCATTGTCAGAAAAAGAATCACCATTAGAAGGACGGGGGGAGGGAGGGAAGAGGAAGAAAACAAAATGTTTAACTTTTGAATCATGGATCCATTAGAATTAAACTAATCAAAACCTTTCATTGGAACAAGTATAACCATTTCAAAAACACTTAAAGTTCTAATTTTCCTGAGAAATATATAGATCCTTTAAGAATCAGTCAGAGGATTTTATAACTAAAACCACTAAAACCACTGCTGCTATTATTAAACTTAGATAGCTGGTTAATCAATAAAAGTAAAATGAAGTAAAACTCAATTTTGAAGAGGTTACTTAAGTGTTCGGAAGATGCCAGAAAGCCTGGTGATCATGCAGACTTTCCAAAAAACAGACCCTAAGTGCTCACAATTTGCATAGGTTTCACTGTGAGCTAAGGTTATTTGATCTTCTCCCAGTAGATGCTCAGCATCTTGCAGATACTTGCTCTTACTAATTTATTACCATGGTTCATTAATGTCTGTAACAGAGCGGGACTCACCACCATGGTGTCTCCTGCTGGACACGCTGGGAATTAGCTTTTCAGCTCTGGAGCACCTCCTTTTGGCTGGTGTGTTGCTCTCTGTTACCTTTTCTTCTTCCACCTCTGTGTTAGGACACACATCCCTCCCAGACCATGGTGTCCTCCCCTCTGGGTATTGCTCTGCTGCAGTGCTCCCACATTCTGGGGTCCTCTCTCTCTGGGACCCCCCAACCCCTATACCCACCTTGCCCACAGGGGCAAACTGAGGTCTGAAATGGCCACTCCTCATTGGCAAGGGGGTGTGGACCTACTGCTTTTGCCTACCCTATCTGCCTCTCTGCAGGCCTAGGAGCCTCAGGCCTTGCTTCAGGCCCTGCAGCCTGGGAGTCTGCCTGGCTAGAGCTTCCCCATCTTGTCCTTCCTTTCCCCAGCCCTACTCTAAGCCAGGAAGCCTCTAGGTCCCTCCTGTTCCACAGCTGGAGCAAGAGTGAGTCTGAGCCTCTCCTTCCCTCCAGGAGCCTATATTTTCACTGCCCTCAGCTAGGTCCTAACTGGATAATACCTGCCACAGCTGCTGGCTCCACAGCTCCACTAATCCAGCCCTTTCCTGGGCTGGGTTTTGACTCTGAAAGGGCCAGTGTCGGACAGATGTCCATCACAATGTCCCAATCCTGTACCCACTACTTTCAGGATCAGCACTGAAAACATGTCCATCTTGCTTTTCATTGTCTCTTTCTTTGCATGCAAAGAAAACAAAAAAGAAAACAAACAGTGATTAAGTTTGAGAACTGAACAAAACCATTTTACTGAAAAAAAGTACAGTATTATTTCATGTGTATTGAAGACATTAGACGAGATGTGTTATACTTCTAGGAAGAGTAGGGGGAGATCTGTTTTACTCGGTATGCATTTCTAAATGGAAACCATCTGCTATTTGATTGATAGAATAAAACCTCTCTAGAGTAATGACTTTTGGGAAGGAAAAATGTTCCAAAAGAACATGACCTATCTTTAGAAATTACACATAGCAAAAACCAGGCATGTGTGATTTAGCAAACTGGCCACTAAGTGCCCTTGTTGCACCACACACATGCAGTTGAGTATGATGTGCTGCAAAAATTGAACTCCTAGTGACTATGATGCAAAATAAGTCATTTTCAGATACTCTGGCCCAGGTCTAATCAGTTCAGCTTTATCTTTGATGAGACTGACTTTTGATTTTGAAGCAGGGAGAAAAATATTGTAGATTTTTCAAGGGCACTCCACTGAAAGTAAAAAGCTATGAATAATACCAAGAAATGTGTAGTCAAGCTAAGAAGACATCTAGAAAGCAGGGTCCTTATTGAATATTAATACTGATAGCTGATTTTTCACAGGCACAGAATAGGTAAACAGCCAATAATTCATAGCACATTTGTTCTTTTCAGTGGTACCAGCGATTACCTGAGAGACGCAATATTAAAATGTAAGGGGGGGATTTCAAATAGATTTGTTTAGTGAATGCACATATTATTATACAACATCTGTAACCTATTATCTTGATAGAGACATGAATATAAATATATATAAAATACAAAATGAAGGCAAATGATACACTATACATACCCTTAGTGCTCAACAGTATAGATGGCAGCCATGCCACTTTCCATTCATTACATAATCTGTATATTCAGAATAGGCGTTATTCCTCGTAGAATGAGATTTACAGATTTTGGAATAAATCGTCCGTTATTTTGAAATTATTTCAAAATAACAGAATGGCTGTGTAGATGCTCACATTGTTATTTTGAAATAACGCTAGTTATCTCAAAATAATGGTACAGTATAGACACACCCTAAGGCTATGTCTACACTCACAGCTTCTTGCGCAAGAACATCTTGCGCAAGGGTTCTTTTGCAAGAAGTCTTGCGCAAGAAAATGTCCACACTGCCAAGTGTGCTTTTGCGCAAGACCTCCCATGGCAGTGTGGATGCTCTCTTGCGCAGGAAAGCTCCGATGGCCATTTTAGCCATAGGGCTTTCTTGCGCAAGAAATCCCTGCTGAGCATCCACACTGCCCTCTTGCACAAGAGCTCCTGCGCAAGAGGGCTTACACCTGTTAAAAAAAAGCATAGTTCTTGAGCAAGACGCCCTCTCTTACCACGCTGTACTGTAAATTTCCTTGCGCAAGAGTGGGCGGGCAGTGTAGACGCTCTGCAGATTCTTGAGCAAGAACGGCCATACTTGTGCAAGAAGCCGCGAGTGTAGACATAGCCTAAGTGTGGCAGAATTAGTACTACAATTGGAAGTTTAATTTCATATATGTTGCCATCTAGTAAACCTGAGGATTCAGAAGAGGCTTAAAAACTATTACAGACAATACTATCGGTACTTTTGAAGTTTAAAAGCTTTTAGATGGTAAACAGGCTACAACGTAATATACCACTTTTATGGGAAAGGTAAAAGTGCTGGGCAGATTGAACTCCTGCTTTGGCAGGACTACAGATGATGCTGGACCAGAGAGCCCCAGTGGCAGAGGTTGCCAGCAGCTGGAAGTGTGGCTGGCCGGCACAGGCCAGCAAGGCACTGGAGCACAGTCTGTGGAGCCGGCAGGGCAGCAGAGTCCACAGAGCAAGCCAAAGAGCAATGTTTTCAGCCTCCTCCCTGGGATGAGGCATACCTGGGAGTCAACAAATGCCTTTGATGTTGACCGCGGAGCGTCCAGACTAGTGCACTGAGCCGACAAACAACTGATCGGCTCAGTGCGGCAGCCATTTAAATTTAAATGAAGTGGCGATTATTTAAATCGCCGCTTCATTTTCCTATGCCAGGTAGTCTAATTTACATGCCTCTGTCACCAGAGGCATGTAGTCTAGACGTACCCTAAGATTCCAGGCCAAGGTTCCCTCTAAGCTGCATGGCAGCACAGCCCTGCAGCTGCTTAATTAGCTCTGCTCAGCCAGGGGCTCAGGGCTGTGTCCACGGAGCTGTCTGATTAGCGGCAGCAGATTAAGGAGCTGTGGGCCCATGCTGCCGTGTAGCTTAGAGGGAACGTTGTTCCAGGCACAACCAAACCCTGACGTTGTTTTAAGTTAGGCTATGAAGAAGTTGCATAATACTTTTTGGTGGTTGTAGCTATTACCATTCAGGAGTTTTTGAACAAACGGATTCACAGACAGATGCACACACTCACTCTCTATCTCTCTCTGCGTACATATATATAAATGTTTGGGAATTTTTGTTTTTTGTTTAATAAAAGCTTTTTAAAATTTCTTATACCAGCAGAGAACAAAATCATGAACGTTGGAGCTCACTGTCCTTTACAAACTTGAATATGTTTAGTGAAATCACTATTTTCTCTTTGTCCTTATCTCTGGCCACCTTGGGAGTTTTGATCCTTACAATTACAAAGACTGCAGATGAGGACAACAAACTGTTCCCCCACGGAAGCAGAACCATCCACCTTTTTGATGTGAAACATCTGAAACACATTTTTCAAAAATAATTTTCTGCTGTGTGTTATCCAAGGCTGTTTCTCCAACAATCCTTAACAAAGGTTTTGTTACTGATGCCCAGAGGAAAGAATAATTTAAATGTTGAGACACTTTTTAAAAAATAATGTCATTTGTTGGGAAGTCTCTGTGGGTATTACCTTCCTTTGACACTCACAGGGAGTTAAACCTAATTGCATTTAGGGTTATCTCCAGCAGCTACGCTCAGAA